AAAGGAAGAAATGTGATTTTCTCAATCAGAGAAGATGAGATATATATATAGAGAGAGAAAAACAATTTTTAACACTGTGGAAATGGTCCATGATGAGTCTCACTGCAAGGAAATCTATTTCATCGGGGTAAAGTTTGGAACAAAGACGCAAGCTAAGGACTAGGTATTCTTTTTAGGAAATTAGCTCTTTATCTAAAAAAAATAAATAATAATTTCCACATACAAGGACAGTATGTTCTACCATGGAGTCACTTCATATAATCAAAAATTCCAGCAAGGATCCTGGAACCTAAGAAAGGAAATACACTAAAAAATCAATATCGCATTAGTGGACAAAAGACCAAAAAAACTCTGATCATAATCATTATTACAGACTACATTTCACAAGAACAGCTTGACTTTCATCCGGGGGATCCCCACGCACCAGTACAAGTCACAAGGGCTGCCTGTCCTACAAGAGTTTGAGCAATAAGCTGAACAAATGCCCTGCAACCAATCAGAACTCGGTGCACTGATAATTTATAATCTTAGTCACCACTGAAAAAAAAAGTCAGCACACCGAGCAGACATAAAACTCTTAAAATGCTGTGAATCTTTTCAAAAGGAGAAGCCAACTGTGAATTAAAAAAAAAAAAACACATTTAAAATAGATTGAAATTTGCACTACAATTCGTGTTTTTGGTACTGTTTAGTTGTTACCTTCTAACCCACATGCTACCCAATTTGACCGGTTGCAAGGCAAATGGTATATATATTGGCGATATTCTGCAAGAATAACACGACATGAGAGCAAGTAATTACGATATCAAAGGGTGGAACACGAGCATAGTAATATAATATATATAATCATATATATATATATATATATATATATATAAACATATTGTATTGGCTGAATTCAATTAATACCTGCAGCAAAATAATTCACAATGCACTCGTCAAATGGTATACAAGATTCCTCCCCAGGAAAGAACAGAGATATAAACTCTTGAAAATCAAGGCCTCTTGAAAAGCAAACAGCTCTACAAAGATAATTAGCTTCTCCGCATCGTAATTGTTCCTGACTAGCCTGGTGCAAAGACTTACCACTTAGACGATCACACAAAACCACAGAAAAAAAAGATGCTAGTACAATTCGTACAAGGTAAGAGAATCAAAAGACTTTCTGGCAACGAGAATAAAAGAGGCACTCGTTTACAGCAGTTGAAGACATCGCCACGAGGGTTGAACAAAAAGGAGCGCGCGAGCAAGGAGAAAACGTGTCTTACAAAGACTGTTCAGTTAGGGGTGTCACATTAATCTCAAATGGACTGGGTTGAGGAGAAGACAGACAGCTAATTGTTTTCTGCCTAAAGACACAACAGCAACAAGGTCGCCCCACACAACACCCAATTTGAAAAAAAAAACCCCCAGAGTACCAAAGTAGACGAATGAGCATACCCAGTCTGAAAAAGTAGGAACATCAAACTGCAAAGCACATAGATACGGCTGACCAGAGGGCCAGAATATTCCATGAGATTCTACACAGAAAACAGTTACAGAGCCCAAAGAGAGAAACATGGGTCTCAAACACATTTAACCTTTTAATAGCAGAACATTTAAGTCTTTACTAAAATCTATATAGTGTTATTCAACACTAAAATCAAAAGAAGTGTGGCGGAAAGCTCTCTGAAGACTTCAAATAATGAAGAAAAGAGACACTAGAGGACAATTCCTTTCAATCTGTCCTGAGGCAAACTCTCCCAGCTCCATCTGCTAAGATGCTGACACCTTCTGTTGACTTCTGAGAGAACAGAATTTATCTACTATAAATCTTTTATTGCTTATTATTTATCAGAATGGTCAACCAGTTGTATCTTCATTCTTGCAAGACGCCATGGTCGCAGTTCAGCCATTTGGTCGTTGGGAGTCATTTCTTGAAAGAACTAACAAACAATCTGAATTACTATCTCGTCTAGACCACAAACTGGAAAGAGATTCAGCGTAAGTGGCGGCAACAGCTTAATCGGAAGAAAATTTACAGGGTGGAGATATTACCTTCATGAAAAAAGACGAGCACAACTCCTCCCCCCCTCCCCCTCAACAAAAAACAACAACACAAATTAAAACCAACAACAAATCATGAAAATCAAAATCAAGGCAAGAAGAAAAACAATACCAGATGATAATGATGTTGAAGAAATGAGGGCCTATGTGAAGATGCTCTATGTATTATTTACAGTGCTTTGAGAGAGAGAGAGATACACCATCTTTATGTCAGCCGTGAAGACAACATCAGCGACAGCAGGCTTGACATTTATAAACAACAAATGGCACTACTGTCCCCTTGGAGTGAGCGATATGTACCGATTATACTATATATACATATAGACACACGCACATATATTTATACATGTGTGTATCTATGTATGTATTTTATATGTATTGTCAGTGTCGTTCCATAATCATCAAAAATCATTTCATGTTTTTTCCCCGATAAAGACGTTATTCACATAAAGACATCAAAGGGAATCTCACAATATAGTTTTGTTCTGCTTTGTTTTTTACTTCCTAGTTTTCAATTTTAAAAATATTAAAAGCCCAAGTCATGTCTTTGATTTGGGAGTTCTCTTTTCTCTTTAATTTTCTCAAAACCTCAAAAAATGACTTAACGGCTTGCAGAATGATCCTGACAATGATCATATGTATATATACACATATATATGTATGTATATATATACATATACACACACATATATCTATCTATCTATATACACAGTTAGAAGGCATACCAAGACAGCATTATAATATGAACTTTCAACAACAGTGGGAATGGATGTAAGAGATGAAGAACCCAGTGGAAACAAAGAGTAACAAGTGTAGCGAGGACACAGAACCGTGCTCGACGACAGCGGTCGCTCCACGCACACAGGATGAAATGGAATTCTCGAGAAGAACATATCGTGGGCATGCTACTACACTGTATAAGTCGACATGTCATAATTCCTCAGGCAAGTGAGGAAAAAAACCCCCCAACAAACAGGTTCATCTATTTAACCCCAGAATAGAAATTCCTTTTAGTTTCCACATTGTTGTTTCAGTCGTCAAACCTTTAAGTCCAAATATGGCAAAGTCAAATCTTTCATTTTAAAAATCATAATAAAGAAAAGAAAGAAATTCCAAAACAAAACCAACAAACGAACCCAAAACAAAAACATTTAACTTATTGCAGTGTTCTAACACACACATGATACACACAACACAAAATTATAGTTAGCATGTGTTCAATTGAGTGATGTAGGTCTCCACTTGTGCTGCCTGTTAACACAAATACACAATCCCATACACACACACGCGCACAAGTGTACATACATGCCGCACACAAGCACACACACATGCACAAACACAGAGCAACAGTTAGGCACGCTGGCTCATACAGAGTGAGACTCTTGTGTCAATATCTGCCATGAGTCACCACTCACACGCCAGTAACGTTCAGCTACATAGGATATAGGATCAACTATCAGATGCTTCTTTGTACACCATCTACAGTCAGGCCATTGGTTCTGTACATAACGGAAAAAATACTGAAATTAGCCTTCGATAAGAATTGTCAAACATTAGCGAAACATACATACATACATACCCGTCCTTATGTCACTCAGCTATACAAAAAACATGAGGACCGCCTACTCATACACAAACGATATCACCCTCTGCCATCCATCCATCCATCCAGCGTCATGTTATTCAAATATACATACTGCAAACAGACAATGCTATTTTCTGAGAGAGTCAGCTTCATTCAAAACTTGGCATACAATCATCCCCTCTCTCTACATTTGAGGGCTTAATTCCAAACATGCAGGCCTTCAACACACCACATCACTTACCACTGCCCAGTTTCATTCCATACAAACGCTACATGGACAAACATGCTGCATCACTCTCTGCAAGCTCCATCCATTCCAAAGCCCAAACTTACATCAAAGAACACGAGACTGAGCTGCAACACAGGCCTATATTTATAGTATAACATTATTAATCGGCACATTCACTTCATAACAAAAGCTTCAAAGGCACTCGTACAGTGCCAGTTTTGATTGAGTCAGACTATCCATCAGACTTTAAAAATTTTAGCACAGTTGGCACAAGTCCGTATCAGTGGAGAAATATTTCTATACCACTCAGTTCTACTTGGCGCAGTTCAGAGTAACTTTCAGCAAGTCACGACTACCACAGCTTTAGTTGAGTCAAAGGCACACAAAAAAAGAGAATACTTATTGAATTGAACGGGTACGAACACAACGCAGGTCTTTACTTAAATGTTGCAGCAAAATCAAGGAAGGAGAGAGGTATATTATCATATCGACAGCAGGTTAGTGGATTTCGGCGTGTGCCTCTGTATCATTCCGCTGTTAATTATAAAATTATTGCCCGTAAGGACTTAAAAAACCCAAAGAGAGGCAGTATGCGGCACATTACATCGTAAAAGTCTTAAAAGCAACAGTAATTGCAATGAACAATCAAATGACAATCTGCTCTTTGTTAAAAATCTGCACATACCCAAAACACAAGACCCCCATCCTCCCCTACTAGTAAATGAGTAGATTTTTTAATGCTGATTTTCATACATTAAACAAAAACGTTTGCTGTGATATACCTGTGACAAAGGGAAAAAAAAACCCCAAAACATCTGCGGTCAGTCCAGTTCAGAGGTGACTTACAACACTACAAACACCATGCTTACGTAGCAGGGGAAAAAATTGGATAACTGGCTTCTTAAGACAAATTTTCAGCAGCTAAAATCTGTCTCGTTCCTTGTTGATGAGGAGGGGAGAGAGAGAGAGAGAGAGAGAGAGAGAGAGAGAGAGAGAGAGAGAGAGAGAAAGAGAGAGAGGGAGAGAGAGAGAGAGGAGAGAGAGGAGAGAGAGAGAGAGAGAGAGAGAGAGAGAGAGAGAGAGACTTACTTTTGAACATAATCACATGAGTATATGTCCAGACACATCCACACAATTTCACCCTAAATGCATACCAGCACACAAACACTTCTAAACTCAAGTCATGTATTCTGTATACCTCGCTGTACAGTTTTTTTTGCTACGGGGCAAAAAATTAAAAGATCTTTAGAATGATGAACACATTTATCCTCATCTTTTTAGCATTTTTGCCGGAAGAAAAGATAAGGAAAACAAACAAACAAAAAAACATTCTTGTCCAGATTTCCAGAAACATTATGCACCCAGAGGAGGAGGGGAGGGACGAAGAGCATCACAGATTTGCCTCTCCAAAGCCGAACATTCTGTCGCCTTTCTGAACTTTCACCCGGTATTGCCATTTACCAACTCTCAGGACTCGAACACGACACCTCACACTATACATTGGAACAGTCAATTTCCACGATGTTCTTTGGGACCTCGGCAAACTGGTACACCAGCCGTTGGCCGTCCACTTTGTTTAGAATACCGCGTGCGTAGTAATACCTGTCGAAAAAGAAGGACAGGATCAGTTGTGAGGTAATTCTACACCCAAACAGTCCCCATATACGGACTTAAAACACACCCACCCTTCCTCATAAAAGGCAATCAATCCCTCCAAAAACATACACCCCCCCCCCCAAAAAAAATTAACATCATTTAAAAAAGTTAAAAAGAGAATCAACAAAAAAAACCAACCCCAAAACCAAACCAAACAAAAAAAAACCCTTCATACAGAACAAAAAAATTCAATCGCTTGCTCAGTGTTACAACATTGCCACTCATATACATTAATTCAGCTCTTCTCTACCAAAATTGGTCTCACTGGCCATAGCAGCAGCCACAAGTCATCCCCAACACTTATTTCTCCTATTACTCTAAGAAATATTCTCCTCCGCAGATGCACTCGTCAGACATTGATCGATGAAATATCATAATCATCATTATCCGCAGAATGTGATATTTTCTATACAAAAACCTGCGATGTTGCAAAAGCAGCAGCAAAAAGCCACAAACAGGCAGAGAGGTCACCAAAGTGCTCAAACTCAGAAAAGGAGGAAAATGGGAAATATTCTTCCCTTGTACAGTTTCCAAGACAACCACCCATTGTTGTGAGAAAAAAAGTGGTCATCTTTCTTGAACAGCTTCATTAAAATATAGAAAAGAAAGCAGGGGACGGAGAGAAGTGGGACTTGGGTTATTGGTACAGGTGATCATTCTGGACAGGTTGGCGTTACGGCAGGTTCAACAGTATCATTTTAACACAAAAATGTAGAAGTCCTATATCCAAACCCACAGCAGTGCTGTTTACTATGATGTTGAGAGGAGAGAGAGCTGTGTGTGTGTGTGTGTGTGTGTGTGTGAGTGTGTGTGTGTGTGTGTGTGTGTGTGTGTGAGAGAGAGAGAGAAAGTGTGTGCCCCCGCACATGTGTGCGCAAGAGAGAAATTCTCTCTCTCTCACCTGTGATTTTGTGGTGTGAGCGTCCACACGAGAGTGTCTGCGCGAGCGTGAAATCCTATTTACCTCTGGGCACGCCTACGGCCCATTCAGTTGTAGTGTGGGCGAATATGTGAGTGTGTAGGCGTGTTGGGGAGCCAGAAACACCATCTCACCCCGCAGTGTGGACCTCACTATTTCATAAGCTGTGCGAGAGTGAGTGGGTGGGAGCGTGTGCGTGCGTGTGCTCTGCGGGGTGTGCTTGAAATACTATCCCAAATCAGAGTGCAGTCCACAATTTCATACTGTGTGTGTGTGTGTGTGTGTGTGTGTGTGTGTGTGTGTGTGTGTGTGTGTGTGTGTGTGTGTGTGTAAGCAAGTGATAGTGTGGGTCAGTGTATATGTGACATGGTGTGTCTAAAACATTGTTTCAGAACATAGTTTAAAAATGTGCGTGTCTGTGTGAGTGAGAAGATACGTGTGCACGTGTATACTTATGGATGTGTGTGAGTGTGTATGTCCATATGTGCATGTGTGTGTGTGTGTGCCTCAAAACCAGCCTCCTACCTAAGAGCTCGGCCCATGGTCTCGTAGTTCATGTCCGGCTTGTTCTTGTGCTGGCCCCAGAGGCGTGAGACGGCCTTAGAGTCCACCAACTTGAAGATTCCCTTCTCCCGGTTGGTCCACTTGATGTAGTGCGGGCATGTGTCCTGGTTCTGGAGCAGCTGCAACAGGAACTCCCACAGGTACTGGGCATTGCCTGGAGATGACACACGCAGACAAACCTTTGTGTTAGTGAGAGTTTTTACAGCACTTGCAACACAATTAGGTCATATAAGTGCAGTAAATTAGCGGTGTTACAAACACTAAAAAGAAGGCATGAAATAAGGACCATAGACGTTTTAGTTTGGTTTTAGTAAGAGTTTTACAGCACTTGTAACACAATAAGGCCATATTAGTGCCGAAGATTAGGGGTGTTACAAGAGAGTAACAAACACAAAAAAGAAGAAGGAGAGAAAAGGATGACAGTTATTTGATAGGAAAGAAGGAGCAGACCACACCAGAGCACCCTTGGAAGGAGGAGAGATAAGGACGATAGATGTTCGATAGGAAAGAAGGAGCCAACCTCACCAGAGCACCCACAAAACCACCCATGTAGAGGGAATATGAGCAAGTCAGACTGACCAGTTATACCTCTTTCCCCACAGTGACTACTACAATTCCTTACAGAGCAGAACAGGTAGATAGAAAAAGAAGCGAAGCAGGTGGAGCTGAACACAACAGAACACACACATTCAGTTTAGTTTTAGTAGAGGTTTTACAGCCCTCGCAACTGCATAAGGTCATATGAGCACCAGAAGATTAGAGGTGTTACAAGAGAGTAACAAACACAAAAAAAGGAGGGGAGAGAGATAAAGACGATAGATGTTTGATAGGAAAGAGGGAGCAAACCACACCAGAGCACCCGCCAACCACCCACACACACATTCAATCGATGAAAACATGACCTAGTCGTGGAAGAAGAATCTCACCTTCTCTCTTCCTCTTTGCCGGTGTTGCGTACTGGCAGTCAGATTCCGCATATTTGGGCTTGCGTCCTGGGAGGAAGAGAAGTCCGGGTAAAAGATAAAGTCAAGAAGTGGCAGTGGGTACCCTAGCTATGCCACCACTCAACTCTTTGAGTGCACAGGACAGACTAAAAATGATACTACAATTCAAAATAAGTGCACGCACTGCTCACATTAAAAAACGAGCATTGTCTTTGTATTAAAAAAATGAGGACAAAAATATAGTGGTCAAAGGGTGTCATCCAAATGTAGTTGTTGTGTAGTTTCCTGAACTTATGGGTCGGAAGGCAAAAACATTAGCAGGCTAGCACCACTGCAAAGAATCAGAAGAAGCAGAACACAATAAAGAGATAGTGCTCATGGAGGGGTGGAGGGCATGTTGCAGCAGCAGTAGGAGTACATCAACATGAAGATGCTGCCTGACAATGGAACAATACCAAACTAAAGAAGTACATTGAACAATAGCCGAAAAGCAAAGGCTCAAGACGAAACACTTCTTGTGGTATGGAGTACATTAAACATTTGCTGTGAGATCAACACAGGGAACTCCATCTGACCATGCATGTTTTTGTTTGAGTAGGTGTTCTACGGTATTGAGTAGGTGTTCTACGTTCTACGGTATTGAGTAGGTGTTCTACGGTATTGAGTAGGTGTTCTACGGTACTATCGACAGAGATGTAGTCAAGTAAGCACCTGAACAAGGTCACTATATAATAATATATATATAAAAAAGAAAAGAATAGGGAGACACTCATTTCTCTTCCCATAGCCATGAAGTCATGTGCACAACTAATAATAATAGAGAAGAGCATATGTATAGCGCAAATCCCAGCTCAACAGCAAGCGCTATGCGCTTCACAATCTATACTATTACCCCAGCAGACCTGAGAGCATTCTGAAACAACCTCAACTTCCTGGAAAGCATACAGTGCAAGCAGCCATTTATAGGAGCTAAAACACTATCATACTGACAACTCACCCTTTTTAGCTTTGGGTTTCTCCTCCGAGGCAGCTGGTGACGGCTGGGGGAACGGTGGGGTCGACGAGAGCTTTGTGGATGCTGCGCTGTTGCTGTTGTGCTTGAGGCTGCTGCTTTTGTGGTAAGGCTCAATGTTGGCTTGGACAGCCGTCAAAGGCTGTAACGACGGACTGCTGTCAAAGTGATCTGGGGAGGGAGAGGTCAGCGATTTTTTTAGGTTCCAGTTTTGGTAAGACTTTGATGGCACTTGCAATGCAAGGAAGAAATTTGAGAGCAAGTTAGTTTAGTTTTAGAAAGAGTAAGTAGTTTACAGCGCTTGCAACACATAAAGTCATATAAGTGCCGCAGATTACAGGTGTTACAATAAGGTAACAAACACAAAAAAAGAAAAAAAAGGAGAAGAGATAAAGACGACAGATATTTGATAGGAGATACGAAGCAAACCCCACTAGAACATCCACTGACCACCCATGGGTACAGGTTAAAAGAGAGCAACAGCCATTATGTGTGAGAAAAAAAAAAGGAAGACAGACAGACCAAAACAATAGGAAAGAGGTAGGACATCCAGTGACACCCTCCTACCACCACTGGCCACAACATAACGTGCTGACGCGTCGAGAAGTGTTTCAATCTGCACCACAACAATAACGGCTATATTTAACCAAGGACAAATACAGGGACAATTATAATAGCAGCACTGAAAAGAAGCAGAAAAGAGAGAGAATGGAGACACCACGCAAATAGCACTCATCAATCACTCACTTGAGGGTGGGTAGGAGGGTGGAAGGGGGTGGGGGCTGGGGAAAAGACAAGCTGGCTGTTTGAGTCACGGTGAACAAAGGGACATCTGCACATCAATTGTTGTGCAATGTGATGAAAAAAAAACCCAAAACACCCAACAAAAAAAACCCCCTCCACCCGGAGAGATGTTGGGCTTTCTTTTCTTATAAACCAGGGCATGACTTTTTCTTCTTCCCCTTTCCTCATGTCTGAGGAAGGCAAGGCCCCAATGCACTGCTCATCTAGACTCCCAGGTCAACGCAACCCCGGTCAAAGCAACCCGCTAAAATCTTTGCAAATCAAGCATTTTATTTCTTAGACAAAAGATTAATCACGGAGGCCCAAGGACACTGTTCAAATTACTCCTGGAAAAGGAAGAGAGCAAAGGAAAAAATAAATGAGGAAACAAAAAAACAAAAACAAAACTGAGGGAAGGGGAGAGATTTTCTCACTTAATTGTCTACACGGGTCGGGAAGGACAAATCACATCTGGTGCAATACAGCTGGCAATAAATCAATAGACAGAGCTTTAAAGAGGTGCTTGTGTTATGGATACCGCTCACAGACAGAGAGGCTGGCAGGACAAAACGAAAGCCGGAGACATCACAGCGGGATGGAGCTGTGCTCGGGGGAAACACAAGGATCTAAGCGCAAATCGATATGGAATGAACATTTCTAAGAAGGGAAAAAAAACAACAAAAAACCCCAACAATCATCTAAACAATTCTCAGACAAACATCGCAGTTTTGCAACCAGAAACCAAACTACAGAGGAGAAAAAGAAAAAGAAAAGAATATCAAGGACTACAAAACTTGGCAGGGTATCAAATAAACACGAAAAAAGTTGTTGAATGAAAATGGAGCAGGAAAAGATAAAATGAGAACTAATAACAAAACATCAATAATTCTGAAAACCAAAAGAAAAAATAGGCATAAAGTTTTTAAAAAAAAAACCCTAACAAAACAAAGCAAATCAAGTGATGCAATTAATGAAAAATATAACCTGCCAAGGACGAAATTTAAAACTGTTAATGGGCTAGCACTGCTCCGTACGGTAATATATTTTATGCAGAAACACCTCCTTCAAAAGGGAAACAATAAGTAAGGGACAAAAAACCCCACTACTGAAGTACAGAGTAGTCTACTCAAACAAAGCACGATTCAAATTAAAAACAGTGCTAAACCGAGGTAAGGCTGGGTCTATAGTTGTTTTTTTTTAACCTGGCGGTAAAGACGTACCTGGACGCATGGCCACATGGGTAGCCGTGTTGAAATGGGCAGGCAATGGCTGGTGAGCGGGCGGAGGCTGGCAGAATGGAGCGACAAAGGAACCAGGAGGTGCCTTGCTGCCGTTACCTAGAGAAAAGGACAGGAAAAACTACATGTTTTCTTTGTTTTATAGTTTTACTGCACTTGCAATACAATAAGGTCACATGAGTTCTGAAGATTCGAGGTGTCACAAGAGAATTACAAACACAAAAAAAGGAGAGATAGGGAGACTGATAAGGAGACAGATGTATGATAGGAAGGAAGGAGCAAACCACACCAGAGCACCTGCGTACCATCCACAAAAAATTACAATGTATTCACTTTCTAACATATTCTATAACACAATTAACAGTGAAAGGCAGGATGAAATGAAATTAGAGCAAACCTACTCCCTCTTTCTTATACCACACATTCAGAGGGAATGCAGTCTATGGAACAACACAATGGCTGATAAGAAGGAGTTAAAAAGAAACTCATCCACACAGTCATGGCCACTTAGTGCTGGAGAACAGAACAACAGATAAAGAAAAGTTAGGTCTAGTCCTACCAAAGTTGCCCTAAAGTATATCAAAATTAAAACCTACAAGAAAAACAGTTGATAACAACAACAACAGCAACCCACTCTCTTCATGTAGAAACTGCATTCACTTGGTACATGATAGACAACTGTACATGCTAATGCCCCTTTCAGAACTGTAAGTTTATGTAAGAGGCAGGACCTCCGAATTTAACGTCCATCTCTAATATGGTCCAGCCAAATATAAATACAAAGCCTTGAAAAGCATCCAATCAACCCATGTTCAAAAAATGCCAACGGGTATTTGAACTTAAGTCATTTGCACCATAGCCCAGCATGAAACCTATGGAGCAAACGACACATCCAATCTCATTCATCAATGATGAACCAAAAAAACAAAAATCAATATGTGGGATTTGATCATGGAAATTGGACATGGACATGAAATGGATATAAGGTAATGCTTTTTAAATTCCCCCGGATATGAGAAACTGGTGTAAAAACTGAACTACATTAGGGCATGGGGGTTGACTGGCCTCATACGTCCGAAGTCCCAACTGATTTAGCTTTTAGTAAACAAAAAATCCCAAAAAAGACTTTAGAATTCATACTGGAACACAAGAAGTGGAGGAAAATATCGGTTGAAAAACAATAAATCCAAACAATAATAATTAATCAATGTGAACCCCTTTACCCTATTTGGAGAAACAGCGACAGAGAAAAATGCATACTAGAATAGAGAAGGAGAGAGGGAGAGAGGCAGGGGAGCATAGGGAGAGGGGAAAGGGAGAAAAAGGTAAGAAAGACAGGCAGGGTCAACAAGACAAAAAAGAGCAATGGTTAAAAAAAGGAAAGGAAAGGGGAAAAAAAAAGAAGAAAAAAAGAAAGACAACATGAAGGAGAAAAGATGGGAACTTGAGGCCCTGGTAGACTTTGTAACTCTGCATCCCATGGTCTTCACAAAACAAGGGCACTGAAAGGCCTTATGTCTTGCCGAGATAAGATAACATTTAATTATTAATTTATGATTTCATCATATAAAAATATTGGGACTTGCTCCCCATGGTCCAGTCATCTACGAAATAGACCAGGATATTTAAAAAATGGTCTTTGAAAACACAAAGTATACTATAAGGACAGCTTCAAAAAGTAGACAATGTTTAAATTCTTTAGGATACAGGCGGCTTTGGCCATGCTGCTAGAGCAAAATCTGGCAGAGAAGGACGGATACAAGGTCCCATCAGACAGACTGAGAGACAGACAGACAGATGGGACTGAGAGGGAGGGATACAAGGTTACATCAGACAGATAGATGGAGCCACATACTCAACCCACGGAGACTGGGGACCCCACATGTGCCGGCCGCGGCTCTGTAACTCGGCCAAGTAAATTCTCAACAGAGGGCTTAAGTATACTTTTAAAAATAATAAAATAAT